GTGGCTCAATCGTGGCACAGGGTCCACGTGCCAAACTCTGATCTTTCAGTGTATGGTGAGGGCAGCATTCTGCATGTGCAGAAAGGCATTTTTTGTGTGGATGTAGGTGCCCTGCACTGGGAAATCAGCGTGTGACACCCGTGCCACTGCTGCCTCGTGCTCACTGTTGTTTCACTGTGGTCACTGTTGTTTCTTTTCTCTGCACACAGGATCATACGGACCAAGGTGCAGCAGCCGCCCAATCAGCAGGTGCCAGCCTCCAGCCACAGCATAGGTAAGGAAAACTTTTTTTTTTTTTTTAAAAAATACATTAAAAAAATCATAATGGATTACAAATATTCTAAAGAACTTTTAATCATTCTTATGGACAGATAATTCTGCATAAAACACTTCAGCACACGTGCTAATGYGCCTTCTTTGTCATTCTCCAAGGGCTGAACATAGTAAATGAATTTTATAAATACTGCTAAAAGGTTTTGAATTTTACTGATTATTATGATAAATAGCTTTCACCATGAGACAGAAAATTGAAATCTAAACCAAAAAACCCCCACTAATAGGGGTCTATAGAATGTCAGATAATTAAAGTAATAAATCAAGAAAGGGATACTTATTCATAACATTTTCTGCATCATTAGTCAGTAAGTAGTTTTGAATGTGTTTTTTTCATCTATCAACCATCCCTATCATAATTCTTTGTGCACTTGCAGTCTTGAGTGAAGAGGTTGCAAAACTTTGTGAAACTTTTAATTCAGCGGCAGAGCAGTGGTGCTGCACCCTGAGGCAGGTGATGGTGGTGGAGGGTGAGCTGAGGGGATCCCCAGGTTGGGTTCACCCTCAGCCCTGCCCCTGTCTGATGGTGAATTCCTGAGGAGGGTGGGTGTTTCTGTGCTGCAGGCATGGAGGGGCTCAGCCAGGCTGGTCTCTTTTTGTCCCTGAAACCCTTTAGGGCACAGGTCAGGCTTTGATTCATTGGGGGTGCTGTGGGGGCCCTAATTTCTCTCTGCCTTTATGCTGTCAGCTGTGGTGTGGTGAAATGTTTGCTGTTTCTCTCTTGGCGAGGCTGTGCTGCACTGGGGAAGGGGATGGAGGCACAGAGCTCCCTGACCCTTTCAGCTTTTCTGAGGTGTCACAGCCAGACCCCRTGTCCTCAGTGTTTCTCTCCAGAAAATGCCAAAGTGATCTCAGGGGAAGAGGAGCTCCTTTATCTCACTTAAAGGTGGCTTAAGGGCTGTCCCTTCTTGAGAAAATCAAGAACAGAGAGGAAAAATCTTGTTTCTCAGAGCCTGGCACTGATAGAGGCATCCTGTCAGACCCAGAGCTGTGTCTGGGGCTCTCTGGTGCAGCCCTGCAGTGCATCCCCCATCCTGTTCTTGGTGATCTTTAGGATGGGGRGACGGGGCAGGACAGGCTCAGCCTGGGAGCTGATGGAGGTTATGGTGTTGCTCCCTGCTCTGCCTGATTTGTGCAGCCTGGGACAGCCACAGCATCCCAGGGACAGCGTTTGCAGGGCACTGTGACACATTCACACAAACAGTGTCCTTCTCTCCAGGGGTCTCCTAAAGCAGGATGGATTTAGGTCATATTTTGGGGAACCTCAGATCTTTCAGCTGTCCATCCCTGGGCAATCCCAGTGTGCAAGGTGTGCACTGGCCAGAGGCTGATGGTGTGGTCAGTGCAAGGTCTCCACTGGTGTGGTCAGTGCAGGGTGTGGACAGTGTGTCCAGCACAGCGAGTGCAGGTTGCTGTCCCTCAGTAGCTCCTGTCGCAGGACCCCTCCTGTGGCTGCTCCTCTCTCTGTGTGACCGTGTTCCCAGCCATCTCTGTCACTCTGCTGTCACCGTGGGCTGCAGTGTCACCCACAGCCTCTGCTGTCCCAAGCAATGAGCTTTTCCACCAAGCCTTGTGTGAGATGGGTCTGATGATAAAGCAAAATCATCTCCCATCCCACAGCAGAGAGACCCTTTTGTGACAGGGGAGAGGGCTGAGCGTGCCTGTGCTCCCACCCTGCTCTGAGCTGCTCATGGTGTGGGTGAGGGCTCCTCCCGAGCTGGACTGGCCACAATGACCAGATGACCAGATGACCACCCAGCTCCACCGTGCCACGGGAGCTGCTGGCCTCTGGGTAAACTGAGGCCAAAGTGTTATCCTGTGACTGACCTCCTGTCCTTGCCTTGCAGCCTCCACAGGATCTGTCACCCAGGTGTCCTCGGTCACCACTGACTCTGCTGGCTCCTCCTACTCCATCAGTGGGATTTTGGGAATTGCTTCTCCTGGCACCGAGAGCAACAAGCGCAAGCGGGATGAAGGTAGCAGGAGCTGTTTTTGGGAGGGGGTGGCATGGCCAGGGGGGTGGGCTGGGGCTGAGGTGGGTGCTGAGTGTTTGTGAGTGATGGAGCTGTGGATATCCCCTGTGGCTGCTGACTGCAGAGCAGTTTGATCCCGGGTCAGCAGGACTTTGCCAAGGTTACAGACAAAGATGATCCATGGCCAGGAGAAGGGCCTGTCTGGGTGTTTTGGAAAGCTGTGTCACTGTGTCACACACTCCTTCAAACCGTGAAACTTTTCCCTTCTGCCAATGAATAGGGGAAGAAACATTATTGTGTTGACTCTCTGGCCCCCCAAATAAGAAATATCTGCAAAGTGACAGAAAGTTAACAGCAGAGACATCTGCTGTGCTCCTTCCCTCAGGACTTTCTTCACCAGGACCTTTTTCCAGTCTTGGAGGGTGGAAGTGAGCACAGTTTAGTTGGGGTTGTTTATTGCTGACACACTCCTCAGATCCACAGGGTGTACTGTCCTGGTGTGTTCTGCAACATACTGAGAACAATGTTTGGGAGAGAAGGGCACCAGAGATGGAGTGGAAGGCAAAAGAGGCGTCTTATTAAAATACCTCTGGTTTAGAACATTCCTTGCTTTTTGCAAGAGCACAGAGAGAAGCTGAGGCACAATTTGAGCAGCAGAGGGGACACCACAACTGTAGTGGGGTTTTTCCAGCTGAGGGCTCAGAGGGCATCTGGAGGAGGGCAGATGTGACTCAGCCTTTCCTGCTGAGGATCACCCATCAGGTTCAGCTCCAGCCTCACCCTAAAGCMCTGCAGGACCCCATCCCTGTGCTGCCCACGCTGCCCCTCGCTGTCCAGCTCCTCCTGGATGGACTGGGGCTGCAGTGGATCCTTTCCTCCCATCCCCAGGGGGAAATGCAGCTAAAATCAGAGCCTGGTGCCTGAGATGTAAARACACCATCCTGTGCCTGTGTGTCCTTTAGTGGGAACACGTGAAGAGGGTGGAGAGTAAACTCAGATTGACTGGACTGGGAGAAAAACTGCAAGAGTTTGTGGGGCCAATGTCAGCCACATGGGAGCTAATCTGGTGGTGGGAGCATAAAACTCCTTGTGCTCAGATTCTTGCTGAATATACCGGTGTTACTCAACTCTGTGATTGTGCATCTGCCATTTCTGTCCAARTCCAGGTTGTAAAGCATAGTTAAATATAAGTATTAAAGCAGGTAGGGTGAAAGTTTTGTRTTTTGTCAGCCAGATCAGGAGAGGGGCTGTGTGTATTGATCCCCAAATGGCTCCTGTGCACCCACAGCACCAATTTTTGTGTGCCTGTGAGAAAACTGAGCTTTAACTGCAGAGAAAAGGATTAAGTGTTTCCCTGAAAAGCAAAAGCAGTTCCAGAAGTASGGCTGAGAACCTTCTCAGCTTTTTTTTCAGCTCACACTCAGAAATGAGCATGTGATTTCCAAAGCAACCCCATTATTTTGGCAGGATGAGTCATGGGGTTTGAGCTCCTAAGCTGGACWATAATGCTGTCCTCAGCAGCTGTTTAAACTGTTTTTATAACAGCTCAGGGCTCTGGAGAGGCACAGTCAGGTACTCCAGGATCTTTGTGGGGATCCCTCRGACCATCCCTGACACCCTCCCCATCCTTCTCAGCACAAGGTCCTTCCATATGGGTGTGGGTGCGTGCAGTGTGCCTGTGGAGCTGCCCCAAAGCTCTGTATCTGCTTTATGTTCTTGTGCTGTGAAGAGGAGAACCACATCCCCTAATTATGACCTGTATCACGACACAAATGCTCAAGGGACAGAGCTGATTTAACATTTCCCGATTTTGGCCAGGCTCTGTCCACTGACAGCCCCTGGGATTGTGTCCTTTCTCTGTAGCTGTTGGAAGGTGAGTGCCCACTGCTCTGCCTCCCTGCACACATTTCCTGAGCCGTGGCTGTGCAGCACTGTCTGTCTGTCTGTCTGTCTTGGTTTGACAGACAGGTGTTTGCCAATGAAGGCAGGGACCCCGCCTTGGAGGGGTGGATATGACCCCCCTTCCCTCCGAATTATTATAGCTTTGAAAAAAAAATAAAAATCACAGGCTTTCAGGCAAGAATATGGGTAAAAGGGAATAACAGTTTTTACTAATATATTTATATAACAAGGTGAAACAAGTAACAATAACAATAGCAACAACCAGCCCAGTCCCAAACCCAGTGACAGCCTCACACAGAGATACACCCAGATCTCCATGTGGCCAAGGATGGGCACAAACCACCAGAGATGGATGGAGAAAAAAAAAAAAGTTCCTCTGCAAACTCACAGCAGAAACTTCGATCTTGGTGCTCCTTTAACCACCGCAGCACCAATCTCAGGGGTCCCAGGCAAGGCACAGGGGCAGAAGATCACAGGGCAGTGAAACAGGAACCAAAGAGCAGTCGAGCTCTGCTCCACAGGTAGCAAACCACCCTCCTCTCTGAGCCAAACAGGGCAGGATATAGAGTTACCACCACACCCACACACACCCCCTCCCAGTACTTAGCAAGATCGTTTGGGTGGGGTGTAGGTCCTATTGTCTTTACTAATCACCCAGCCATCAAAAGGATGACCTGGCAATCAGTGTATCCCAGCAACAAAATGGGAAAGGAAAACTCCCCAAGAAAGGAAACAAAAGGAGAAAACCCACACCACCGTCCTTTCCTGGCTGCCCTCAGCCCGGGGATGAGGTGGGGTGGACTTGCCCTTCCAGCTCCCAGCTGCACCGAGCACTGGGTACGATTCATTAACCAGTTTTGTTCTTCTCACTCTTGACATGTTTTTAGCAGATGTCATCAGTCTTTAACCCAGTGGGGAGCTCKCTGGATAGCAACGGGGGCAAACCAAATCAGACAATCTTTATTGGTTTGTACAGTTGAAGGTGTCATTTTATTTTTCCCTGTTGTAATGTGGACTTGGAGCAGATGTGCCTTCGTGGGGGATCAGTTGCTTTCAGTTTKGGTTAAAGGATTGACACAAGGAGCAGGCAGGTCTGTAACGAGGCACAGATTCCAGCAGTGGAGGATGCCAGGCACACACCTCGCTGCAAACTCTCCCAGGTGCGGGTTTGCCTGGCCCCAGGGCTCAGGGAAGGGCTGCAGTGGGGTCATGGGGCTTTGCCTGCTCTCTGTGGGGTCTATTTTAGGGCAGTGAGACCCTCCCAATGCCAACAGGGTCTGGTTTCACTGCGTTTCCAGCTGCTGGTCAGTGAGCAGTGGTGGTTTTGTGAAGGACATCTGACGTGTTTTGGGAAGTGCTGAGCACCCCCTGTGTGGAAATCAAAGCTTTCTGAAGTGGGATTAAACAATCCTTGTTGAGCACTGAGAAAAGCACACAGGACAGTTTCATCCACAGGTGGGTGCACAGGAGACCGGGCCACAGAGGTGCTCAGGACGTATTTTGGGGATGAAGGAATTTGCTGAGCCATAAAGCTCTGGAGGATTCTGTGAGGATGATGGGGAAGAAGGGGCAGTGCACTGCAAGGCAGAGTCCGTTCCTCCTTCCCCCTTCACTCCTGTCTTTGCCACCCCTGCTCTTCATCCTGGAGAGTGGTGCAGGTGTGGGAGGGACGTCACAAGGGCTTACACCCAGGTGTAAATACAGCTCCTGCTGTGTTTGAGCTGTGCCAGCCGAGAGGGATCCTCCACCCCTGAGGAATGGGATGTGCTCCTCACGGGATCTCCATGAGCTGGGGCTGTCTCAGGGGGATGTCCTGAGGCCACCAAAGGAGCCTGCACCGCAAAGAGCCCAGAGCTGCGCTGTGTGGAGACGCGTTGTGCTGCTGCTCCTTTCCAACGGTGATCACAGCGTGTGTGGGGTGATGCTGGCTGCCCTGGGGATGTGCTGGGTGTAACTCTGGTGTAGAGCTGTGTTTAACTCTGGTGTAACTCTGGTGTAGAGCTGGGTGTAGCTCTGGTGTAGCTCTGGTGCAGAGCTGGGTGTAGCTCTGGTGTAGCTCTGGTGTAACTCTGGTGTAGCTCTGGTGTAGATCTGGGTGTAGCTCTGGTGCAGAGCTGGTGTAGCCCTGGTGTAGCTCTGGTGTAACTCTGGTGTAACTCTGGTGTAGCTCTGGTGTAACTCTGGTGCAGAGCCGGGTGTAACTCTGGTGTAACTGTGGTGTAACTGTGGTGTAACTCTGGTGTAACTCTGGTGTAACTCTGGTGCAGAGCTGGGTGTATCTCTGGTGTAGCTCTGGTGTATCTCTGTTGTAACTGGTGCAGAGCCGGGTGTAACTCTGGTGTAACTCTTGTGTAACTCTGGTGTAGCTCTGGTGTAACTCTGGTGTAACTCTGGTGCAGAGCCGGGTGTAACTCTGGTGCAACTGTGGTGTATCTCTGGTGTAACTCTGGTGTAACTCTGGTGTAACTCTGGTGTAGCTCTGGTGTAACTCTGGTGTAACTCTGGTGCAGAGCTGGGTGTAACTCTGGTGTAACTGTGGTGTAACTCTGGTGTAACTCTGGTGTAGCTCTGGTGTAACTCTAGTGTAACTCTGGTGTATCTCTGGTGTAACTCTGGTGCACAGCTGTGCTCGGCAGCCTGCAGAGGGCTCGATCTGCTCGTTCTTTCCTCCGTGCAGTTTTTTCCTCCAGCTGCTTTTGT